GAGAGAGAGAGAGATCATCCACCAAGAAGAAAATTATGAAGATTCCTGGTACAAATCACCTCACAAGAGGGGGAAAAAAATCAGGGGACAAATAGTTGGAACCAATAGCAGAAGCAGTGCAGAGGTAGCAATGGGCTATTAGTTAAATAAGCGGATTATTTTCTGTACAATGTACCATTCAAATGAAAAAAAAAACTTTCTACAGATGGTAGGTTATAATGCATTTAGTTCTTTTTCAGAGCCTTGGATGGATCTCTTAGTTGTAATGCATTTTAGTCTTTTGGGCTCTCAATCAGAAAGAGGGAATGTATGCTATAAACCTGCAAAAACTTTTACATAAATTCATACAAATATATTCTGTGAACTAGCAGTTTCTTGTTCTTGAATGACAAAAACCCCACTTGACAGAAAACACCTTCAGAAATGTAAATACATATTGGGTGAAGAATTTTGACATGAATCTTCAGCAACAACAAGTAGAATAGCAGATAAGATTTCTGAAGCAAACCACACCTACAATCACCAACACCTAGAGCATTTCCAGACAGAGAAATAAGTTCAAACATAGAAGCCCACAAGTACCAAAACTCACTCCATTAAAGAACCATCCTATAACTTGATTATCCTCAATAGTATTTAGAGGCCATTAGTCAAAAACACACAAAAATAATTATCCAAAACAATGCAAAAGTCAGTAAACCAAATCACAGGATAAGCAAATATGCATTACCAGCCATAATGTTGCCCGTATCTTTCAGCCTGGTTGAAAAAAAACCTCAAAGAATTTGAACCCAAGGGCTTCACTTTAGGAATCTTCACCGTTTTAAGAAAATTTCTAGAGAGAGAGAGTGAATAAACATTTGAGTTTATATATCTCTGGTTTGAAATCCTCTGCAAAAGAGTAGGTTGAGGCTTCCATGAATGGAAAGATTGGTGAAAAGACTGAAATGGAGAAAACCCAGTCGGTAATTTCTGGGAAAGGTGGGACTCTTGATGGCAAAAGCTCCAAAATAACTTCGAATTCTTGGTTTTGGAACAGAAACCAACAAGCCTGTTCATCTTTCACCAGACGGAGAGTGAGAACAGAGGAGTTGTGTTAAGGTTTTGAACTGTAGCATGAATATATACCACAGTGAAAAAGGAGTGAAGTTGATTGTGATTCCTTTTTTGGGTTTCGAACTTCTGCCCCATATAAAGCAGTTGGTACATGCTGCTCGAACAATCAAAGTATCCGATCCGCCGTACTCTCTGTCCCTAACCGTCTCAACACCGCCAAACTCTCCCCCCCTCCTCTCTCTCTCTCTAACACTCACGCGCAGTAGCCCATCTCTGACGCTCGCTCCCGTTCTCTCTCTAAAGCTCTCACTACAAAAGCGGGCCTGTATCTCTCTCTCTCTACCCCTCGTCCAGACCCCGTGTACTGCTCGGGCTGGCTAGAAACAGCTCGGGCCTATCCCAGGACTTTTGGGCCGGGCCGGTTTACTTCTTCCACGATGCCCGGTCTTCAATGAAGTCGCGCCCATGGCACATTATTACACTAACCCCTGAGGCCCTTTATCCAGTTGGTAGCTAGTTGTTTTATTCTATAAAGTTGCAACCTTAAGCAGTTCAATTAAGTCGCATCTCAAAATTTTATCATGTAATTTTGTTGTAAAAAATTCTTAGGATTATCTTAAAATATATTTTCATATTTAATTATAAAATTTTAAATTCTGAAAATAGTTAAAATCAAGTAGATCTATAAATATATCGAAATCTTAAAAATAGACGGTCTAGTTAATGTGTTGCAAGATGCACTATTTATGAGACTCAATAACTTTTTTTTTCATATCCATACATCTCGATATCAAGATGATCGATTAGAGGATTTTTCAACATTAACACAACATTCCGATAGATTTTGGAGGTGCATATGTGATTCTACATTTTAAGATTGCAACCCTAAATAAACTTTTTCCCTTTTAAAATATATAAGAAAATATATGGTGGCCTCGCTGCATCAAGTTAGAGCGATACCAGTTAGGATGGACGATTTATTTTAAGAAAATGGTTTAATAGAGTAAAGCCTCACCCATAATTCATCAAAAATTACAATTCAAGCATTGGAAAATCTTTTTATCTCATCTCGACTTTAACATATTATGGAAAAAATTAAGATTTTAAACTCTAAAAATCATGTATATTGTAACGAATTATCAAGACCATCCATTTCACTATAAATTTAAGAGTTCATAAATCCACAAGGTCTGTACCATTTTTTGAGTTTCAAAATTTGTTGTTAGTGTTAGAAATTTATTTAGATCCATCATGGAGATTTCTATTGTCAAGGGTACTTTTTAGATGAAGATTTTTATTGTCAATGGTGCTTTTTAGATGAAGATTTATATTGTCAAAAGTGCTTTCTATTGTCAAAAGTGAGGCTTTATTTTGTTTTCATAGAGCCTAAGCCTCATAGAAACTTCATCATGTAATTTAAATGGAAGGTATCTAAAAGGATAAATGAAAAAGGATGTAAATGGAAGCAATGAAAAGAGATAAATAGACTTACAGTTTGATTGCGAGTATGACTCTTGATAGAGCAGAATAGCATAACAATATTCCTGTAGCCAATCCAAAAAAATTGGGATAAGCTTGGATGATGATATGATGACATACAAAACAGTAAAAATTATATAAAATGTCCTTTTTATTTATTATTATTAATAAGCTACAAATATTATACTCATATCTGTTTTTCTCTATTTCGGATTGTTTTTTTAAAAAAATATGCTGACCTCGTTGATAGTCTGAAATACTCTGAGTGGCCCTCCTTCAAATGAAAACTTCATATTTTTAAAATATGGAGTTGTTTGTGTATTATAAATCTCGGATTTTGACAGTTTCCCCAATTAAAAAGTCAATGAATTTAACAACAGAAAGCCCTCTTTCCCTTATACCAACATTTTCATAGTGTCGGTCCGGCAAAAATCACTGCCAGACCAGCTTCTCGCCACTATGAAATTAATGGGCTGGAGTGATCCAACACATTTTTGTGCCATATTGGATTCATTCTTCGGTTTGCCCCATTCAACTTCTAGATTTCCCTAAACTTCAGTATTATTTTTTGAAGCCTGTCCGACATAAAATGGGGGCTATTTGGTAAAAAAAGCACCTTTTTGAATTGGGGTAGGAGTGAAAAAAACAATATTGGATTCATAGTGGTATCATAATGTACTATTTGGTAACTAAGAAGACATGAGAACGTACTTGCCGAAAAAGAAAGAAAACATGAGAACGTGACTTGTTTTGTCAGTTATTACATTTTTCCCTCTTTAGGAATAGGAAAAGTGTGGAAATACGAGCCCCATATTTCTTTGTAGTTCCACATTTTTCCCATGTTTGGGGGAAACTACAGTGCACCAGGGTCTGCTGCCGATTTCTCAAAAAAATTGGGAAACTCAAAACTACCTGGTACCCTTTTATTTTTATAACCTCATGATCTCTCTTCTATCTCAATCTCTCTTTGCCCAAGCTCTAGCTCGAATTTTTTCTAGTTTTCAGGTTATCAAAACAAGGGTTCTCAACTTTGAGCTAGAGTTTTCTGCTTCACATTTTTTTTAGATTTATCATAGATCCTCCAAAAAAACAGATTTCTCAATAAGGAAACATATCGTAATTGTTTTTTTTGTTATGGGTGTGGTTTGTATAAAGTTAAGGTACTAGACAATCAAGGTGCACCTTCAAATAGTATCGAAACATATTATTTCACTACGGGAAATATTGGTGATGCCATGAGAATTTAATTCCATCTCTAATTATAAAATTTAAAGATTAAAAAATAGTGTAGATCCAGTAGATGTATGAATACTTGAAAATCTAAAAAATTGATGGTCCTGATAATGCATTACAAGATGTACTATTTTCAAGACTTGAAATATATATTTTATTATGTACATACATCTTGAAGTTGAGATGATCGATTGGAATATTTTTAGCATCGAAACGACATCTTCTAGTGAATTTTGGAAGCACGTCTTAATTTGATTTTCTAAGTCGTCACCCTTATGTAAACGTTTTCTTTCTTGTTATTGTTTTTTTGGTAGGTCTTTTTGGGGAAATTTTCATATAGAATACTAATTCTTCATATTATTTCATGGTAGACTTTCTTTCTGTTTTTGTTTCAAGTGATACGACACCTTTTCATCTCTTATTTTCATCTTTTATTGATTTTTGACTATCAAAATTAGCTTTAACAAATATTTTTATATCATTTTTTTTTCACTTATTAAAAATATTTTTGGATTAAAATGATATAAAAATATATATGTAATATTAATTTTGATAGTTAAAAGTCGATAAAAAAAAGAGATAAAAAAAATGAAAGGTAGAATGAAATCTCTATCGATTTCGTTATACCATTTGAAAGAAATACGAGAGGAGGTCCACCGTGAAATAATACGAGGACTCATGGTTTTATACGATTTTCGTTTTGCGTTTCTGGTGGAGCGTGGAGGGTGAGGAGTTTTTTTTGTTTCGGGTGGAGCGTGGAGGGTGAGGGTGAGGCTGAGGGTGAGGGGTTGGGGGGGGGGGGTTGAGGGTTGGGGGGGTGTGGAAATCGGGGGGAGTTAGCGTTTATATGCCCAAAAGCTCTCCGTATAAAACCAGCCATGGCATTTCCTTTCCCCTGCACTATCTCTGATATTTTGAGGGCTTTCACCGAGTTCACGATACGGGTTCTCCGATAAATTCCTTCTCATTAAATCCCAAAGGCCAGTTCTGTTTCTCTCTCATCCTCTCTCTCTCTAGAAATTCCACCTTCAGGAGTCCCAATCCGTTCCGGGTTTTCTCACTCCTCCCTCCTCTCAAAAATTCCCATTCTCATTCTCATTCTCATTCTCATTTTCATTTTCATTCTCATTCTCCCTCTCACTAGAAATAACCGTCTATGAAGTTCTCTTCTCTCTCACTCTTCCTACCCAAAAGGGGACTTTCTTTTCTAACTAGTGCTCCTCCTTTCTCTGCCAATCCTCCCATCAAGCACACCAATTTTTGTTGGATTTCTGAACTTCTATGTTTTAATCCTTTTATGTTGAAAACTCTGCAAATTCCTTCTCAAAGTCGTTCATTTTCCTCAGATTTCAATCCAAAGCATCTCTTTTCTACCACGGAATGCATGGATGAGCAGGAAGAAATCACCCCTAATTCAATCGAAAACTCAAAAGATGCAGACTTGATAACAAGAATCTTGATTGAGCACCACAACCCATATCACACAATGGAAGCTTCTCTGCAACTAAATGGTGTTCATCTCTCTCCCCATTTAGTTAACCAAGTTCTATTGAGATTACGAAACCTTTCGAAAATTGCAATGGGTTTCTTTGTTTGGGCAAAAGAACAAGCACTTTACAAGCATGACTGTAACTCCTATAACACCATGATCAATATTTTAGGCAAAGTTCGACAGTTCGATGTGGCCTGGCAATTGATTATAGAAATGGGTCAGGAAGGAAACATTGAATTATCAGAGAAAACCTTTGGAATTTTGATCAGAAGGTACATTGCCGCAGGTTTCACTCGCCAGGCCATTCGGACCTTTGATGATATGGAAAGTCTTCTAGAGAAAGAAACCAGTTCTAGTGATTTTAACATGCTCTTGGACACACTTTGCAAATATGGGTTTGTTAAAGTAGCGACAGAGATCTTTAACAAGAGAAAATATCAGTATCCACCTGATATAAAGACCTATACAATTTTGATTTATGGGTGGACAAAGTCTAATAAGCCAGCCATGGCTGAAAAACTTTTCTCAGAGATGACTAACAAAGGCTTAGAACCCAATGCAATAACATATAATGTCTTATTGAATGGAATTTGTCGATGGGCTAGACTACAACCTGAATTTAAATTTCACGAGACAGTTGAAAAAGCTGAAAGGTTGATAATGGAGATGAAAACCAGAGGAGTCGAGCCTGACGCAACCAGTTACTCAATTATCCTCCATGTTTATAGTAGAGCACACAAACCTGAGCTCGTGATTTCTAAACTTAGAGAGATGAAGCAAATGGGTATATGCCCAACAATAGCTACTTACACTTCGGTGATCAAGTGTTTGTGCTCGAGTGGAAGAATCGGCATTGCTGAAGAATTACTCGATGAAATGACCAGTAATGGAGTTTCGCCTTCAGCTGCAACTTACAACTGTTTCTTCAAGGAATATGGGGGTCGAAAAGATTCGGAAAATGCATTGAACCTTTATAGAAAGCTCAAGGAACCATCTTCTCTATGCACACCGAGTATTCATACATATAATATACTGGTTGGAATGTTTTGTAAATTGGATCGAATGGACATTGTTTTGGAGCTTTGGAATGATATGAGAGAGAGTGGAACTGGGCCTGATTTGGACTCATACACTTTGCTGGTTCATGGATTATGTGAGAAGAAGAAGTGGAGAGATGCTTGTTGTTACTTTGTGGAAATGATAGAGAAAGGCTTCCTTCCACAAACTGTCACTTTTGAAACTTTGTACCGCGGTTTGATACAGGCTGACATGTTGAGGACATGGAGAAGGTTAAAGAAGAAGCTTGAAGAAGAATCAATCAAGTTCAGTACTGAGCATCAAAGTTACCAATTCGTGCCTTACAAAAGATGATGGGGTGTGTCTTAAATTGGGTTTTTAATGGCTGTGAAATCACTTTGCTCTTTGATTGAAGATGATGGGTGGAGCTTAAATTGGTTTTCATAGCTGTGAAAGCCATGGCCTGAGAGAGATTGCATATCTCCGTTATATGACTCAAATTGAAGATGATGGGGGGAGATTGAATTTGGCCTAATGGCTGGGAAACCATGGACTGCAAGAGGTTAAATATCTCCTTGTTCAAGCAAAGTTTCTCCCAAGTGTCTATAATATGGGCTTTTGAATTGATTGATCTGGGTGTTTAGAGGTGTAAAGAAAATGTTTGTTGCTTCTAATTCGGAGTTCATTTCAAAAATGTGGGTTTGGAGCTTGGTCTAAAGGAAAGAGCAAGTCATAGGCCACACTGATGCAATGCTTTCTGTGCTTCAAGTTCAACTTTATGAAGGGGCTGATACCGTTGCCAGTGAAGCGGTGTTCCAAGAATCAGTCTATATCGACACAATGTTAGTGTCGGATTCCTTAGATGTTAGCCTGATATCTCTTGACCTTTGTTTTATGTTTTTGATTCCTTTGTAATTTTATTTTGATAATAAGTTTTCTGTGAGTGCCAAAAGAAAAAAAAAAAGTGTGATTTTCAACATCAAGCATACAACTATCTTCCAATTTCCATTACTAATATGATCCTTTACAGTAACCTGGTGGCAAGCAATTTCAATAGACTTACTTTGTGAAGTGTTCCTGTAGATATCTATGTGCCTTGTCTACTGATGAACTTTGTAGTGCAATTATACTCAAAATTTAACAGAGGGGCATATGTATGTCCTACTCCGACAGGAGTAGATTTTGACAAAAAGATTTTGTGTTCTAAACATCTTGATCTGACCATCCAAGAAATGAGGTTTTTGTTCCCTACTGGGATGGGGAATTTTTTAAGGTGGTTTAAAGGTGCAATAATTTTATTTCTTATATTTTTCACAAATTGTGGAGATCCCCCAAAATTAGAGGCCCATAAAATCCCCTTAAGTAGGTTTATCCCGAGGTAGTAAATGTAAATTTTGCTCACCCAGGGACATGAAATACTTTTACCTGACCACATGTACATGTAAGTTGCACTTGTTCTGTGCACAGATGGCATGCTAGCTTGGTCAAATGGACAGTTTAGATTTCAGTTTTTCTAAACATATGCTCCATCAATCAGAAATGAGATGGCATGTTTGTGTGTGGATGAATCCTATTGCAGACATTTTAAGGGTTATGTTTTTGTTGAAGCGACTTTCTTAAATATGAAATGAGAAGCCATGTTTGTTTGTAGATGATCTTTCAGTCCTCAAATCTTGTAATTATAAGTCATATGAAATTGGGGTTTTCTAGTGTTTTGGACTCTCTCTCTCTCTACATGTCATCAAATTTCTTATTCCAATAGTATTTTTATGCAATAAGGTTTTAATTTGTTCATTATTTTTTAGGAGATTAAAGTTTTTTGGGGTTATACTGGGTTTTTCATCATTAGCGGTCTTTATATTTTATTTTTAGTCATAGAAAATTAAGGATTAGAATTGAACATTTACTTTTTAAAATATGAAGGATTAGAGTTTGATTAGGATTTCTTAGGAAATAAGTTCGGTCTTCAATTTTTTTTCTTCTATAAATAATAACTATTTGACTGGAAAAAATAAAGAAGAGAAGAAGAGTTTATTTCAACCTTGAGTATAGATTTGTTTTGTTTTTTGCTTTTTTTTTAAGTGTAGCCCCCGACAGACCCTGAGAGGGTCTAAAAACCACTATCGACTCCACTTCCCTGAATCATATTTCTAATAGTTAATTTTTCTAGAGATTGTCCAGAGAGAGAGAGCTCAGCTGCATGCAGAGAGAGTCTAAAAAGCACTATCGACTCCAACAAATACTACCAGCTCTGGCATAAATGCAGTTTTTCCATAAAAAATATCCTAACATAAACGAAATTCTTAACGTGCTTAGAGATCAATTCAATCTTTGAATTAATTCTCTAGTGCAATTTTTCAGTAAATGGAGAAAATATAATTGCCACGATGCAAAAGCCTTCCTGGCCCCAAGAATGCGAGATACAAAATAAAGATAGCAAAAGGCTAAAAATCAGCTTTGGGCCCCTGTAATTGCCTACGCACTAGTGCTGTATAGATCCCACCATGATCAAGTAGGTCTTGGTGGGACCCACTCTCCGCAATCTGCCCGTCTGATATAACAGCCACCGTATCTGCACTCTGCACTGTCGAGAGACGATGGGCTATGACCAACACCGTCCTACCCTTCATTAGAGAGTCCATGGCATCCTACCACATTCATAAATGCACAATCAGCATCCAAAATGATACACGAACAATAACAACACACCATACAATAGACACTTGAATATATTGACACATATACACATGTACATTGATAAACATGCACATAAGCATATACATGACATACATATCTACATGCATAATATGAATGTGTGCATGCATGAGCGTGATGGTGAAACTATCCCTACAATACACTACATATGTAGGATTAGTGTTTGGGCTTGGTTAAGGTTTCTCCACAAGATAAATCAAATATATACACAGGTTTTACAAATTTTTCACAAATATTAGAGATGCTTTGGGGAACAGAATAATCTTCATCTTTCAAATTTGTTGATGGTAGATATTTGAAACCAGTGGTATCCGGCAACGGGAAAGTATAATTACCACAAAAAAAAAAAGGAGAAAAAAAAAAGTATACTTTAACCAAATAGACTATAAAAACCTTAGTCAATTGAGGTCAGCACCATCCAATCCAATGATGGACGGTGATAGATGACATGCGGGACCCACCAGGGTGATGGTGGAGATGGGAACCACAATAAGGGTCTTGACCGATTCATTTGGACCCCCCTTCCCCTTAATCACCTTTCATCGTTTCATCAGGCAGTGATGACCACAACAGACTGTGATCTCATATTCCAGCAGATAATGGTATACTTCCCTATGCTATCTTCCACATATGTTACACAAATGAAATTCTTGAGAACCCATATTTTCCTCACCTGAACCAGGTATTCACTCTCAGCATCCAGAGCACTTGTAGCTTCATCCAGGAGTAGCACTTTTGGGTTCATCATCAATGCCCTTGCAATTGCAATCCTCTGTTTCTGACCTCCGGAAAGCCTCAAACCACGTTCCCCCACATGAGTCATGTATTTTTCAGGAAATTTTGATACAAATTCATGCGCATTTGCCATTTTCTGTGATTCCCAAGGTTTAGAGAGAGATTTAGGGAGACAAGAATACCAATGAGAGAGAATCAAATGAAAGTGAAGGAGTTCGAACCTTACAGCTGCATTTTCTATATCACTGCTGCTAGCCTTTCCGCTCAATCCATATGCAATGTTTTCTTCCACGGAGCAGTTAAATAGCACAGGTTCTTGGCTCACTATACTAACCTGTGATTCAAAAATGAAAGTCAAAATAGAAATAAATTATGAAATCCTTGTTTCTGAAGAGAAACAAAAACGAGTAGACTGTTGGAATATTTATATAAGATATTTGAGAAACAAACAGGTGGTACTTTGCAAAAGAACTTCAAGTTAGAAGACCTGATCTGTGGATATTACCAACAAAACTAGGAAAATCTTGCAAAATAGTTGTAATTTAGGACTGCTTAAATTGTACCACAAGAAATTTCCAAACAAACGTCATTGGTAAAGGGAGAAGAAAATGGCACATAAGAGCATCTTCAAGATATAGGACCACATGCGCATCCATACACGAGTGCAGTATTAATATTGTAAGAGCAAGCTCCTTCTGTTGGTCATTATCAATATGATGCATGTTAAATACATGGGTTCAATAGATGCAGAAAACAAATAATATGGCATTAATCATCATAGAAAGAGAGGTTATCTCAATCAGTTGGTTGAAATTGAATATTTTGCATGCGAGTAAATACTAAGCACCAAAAGAGTCACCTGTTTGTGCAGATATTGATGTGAGATTTCCACCAATGGGAACCCATTAAGCAGGATCTTTCCCTTGAGAGGGTCATAAAATCTTTCAATTAAGTTTGCAATTGTTGTCTACAATACATGTTAAAAAAGATTAGTTAGTTACTTGTTCATCACAAATTATCTGGGCTAGCAAAAAAACAGAAAAAAAATATCAATAAAAGAACACGAAAATAAGTGGAGCTAGATAGGAAAAAGGATTACTTTTCCACCACCACTAGGACCAACAAGAGCAACCTTAGAACCTGGTGTCAATTTAAGCGAAACTCCCTGCAATTTTGCAAGACATGTTAGTCATTTACTCTTAGATGCCAAAGGACTATCTCTCTGTCTGCGTGTGTGTATGTGATCTCAAATGCTAAAAGATCTCCCAATGCTACAAGAAGTTATAGTTATCGGACTTCTTATTAAGCTCGAATAGAAGAAGTCAACAATGAATTTCATATGGAGCGCAATTACTCTAGGATTCAATCATTCGTTTTCCTCAAAAAGACGGAAAACATGAGAATATCTTTTTCTTAGTGATCCCCATTATTAGAATGAAGAGGAAGTCAGCTATGCATGGTGCCATTGCATCATAGAACGTCAGAAACTACTCCAAGCATGATCTGAAAATATCATCTCATTTATAAGGCTCCAAAAGAACTGTATATACTTACCCGGAGAACCATATGGTTAGGACGAGAAGGATATGCAAACCAAACATCATCAATTTCCACATCACCAACTTGATCACTATCATCACAATCAGCAATTCCATGGTAAATTTGATTCCTTTTGATAAAGCATACAGACCACAGGTGTTACGTGCTACACATCCAATGTTTAGTGATCATATATAGTTTGCCAAGAAGATGAAAGCAAACTATTAAAAAACGGAAAGTTTGGGGATTTCAGCAATTTACCCCAAAGGACACTTATTTCCTGATTTGGGCATAGAGGAAACACGATCTAGAAGCTGGAAAACTCTTCTACTTGCTCCGGCAGCTTTCATGGTGGTTGTATATAGCCCAGATAAGGCAGACACAGAGGACCCAACTGCAACCAAACCATGTCAAAAAATATTACACTAGTTAGGGAAGATTCTAATGACCTATCCCCTAGTGACCCAACGATATAAAGGTAAAGTAGATTGCTACCCAGTGGAATATGTTATACAGTTCTACGAAGGAGCATTCACAATCTAATCCTTAATATTGATGGTGGAGATTGACTGCACCCTGGTGAATGTCTTGTTGCCCCTCTCCCCCCCCCCTACAATTAACCTCCACTGTCCATCATTAGAAACGACAGTGGATGCCCATTTCGAGTAATATATGTCATACTCCATTAGATTGTAGTACACTTTTCCACAGAGACTAATATCAAGTCCAGTAATTATCAGAACAGAATGAAACCCCATCACGAACAGATGGCTTAGTAATCTTGAAATCATATTTTTTCATTCATTAAAACAATACTAGGAAAACCAAAGTAACTGCTAATGAATATATTCATATAAATCATGGTAAAAAATATAATTCAAGAAGAGGAAAATATATAATTTAAGTCATATAGGAAGTTCTTCTAAATGGTTTGAGAAGTACCTGTAAGGCTATAAAGTATAAATGAAGTGAGATCACCAGCACTCATGAAGCCTTTGATGGTCAAGTTGGCTCCATAAATCACCACAATGACAACAGATAATGTGGATGCAGCATTAAGCCCTCCAGAGAAAAGGCCCACAACCATCTGCCGCAAGGGAAGATAGCACATATAACTCAAAGAATTCTAAAAGAAGGGGAAAAAATACTACTGTCAAATGGACCATAGCAAACAATACTCCACAAGGAGACATCAACAGTTTATGATGTGGATGGTGATGGGGAGTGTGGGACCCATCCCACTCTGTCTCTAGCACCAATCGTCATTTCATCAAACAGTGATTGCCCAATGAATTAAACCTTTTTCATAGCCCATTGGACTATCACAAACTCTCCATACTCCATTTGTACATAGAATATTCCAGATATTAAGAGGTGAGCAGTGTAAAGATGATGAAAATAGTGAATCATGACAGGTACTCACAGCTTGCTTCAATCCCAGCTTCAAAGTCTCATCGACTTTTTCTCCATAGCGACCAATTTCAAACTCCTCTTGTGCAAAAGATCTAACTGTCCGAACAGCGCCAAAAGATTCCTGATATTTTATGCCATTTGTTATATAAGTGCATGAAGACCCACTGCACATGTTTAAAGTAATCTCTTTAGATAGTTCATTAAATGAATTTTTTTCCATTGAATCAGCTAGGGATAAAAACATGAACTCTAGCCTAGACTGCTAGGGTCCTGAGCCCAAGTCAGCTGATTCGACTTGGGCGAGTCTCAACAAGAACAGGCAGAGTCTTTTCGAAAATAACACAGTAGGTTCCAGAATCCGGTGAGACTGGAGCAAGTCCTGAAGTTTTTTAATAGGAACCAGCACCTTTCAAGGTTCAAATGATTCAGGTGAGTCTGAGCCCTATCACCAAGCAATGTCCAAGAAGACACAGGTGGCCGCTCGGGTGGTCGTGCTGGCATGTACAGCAACTGTGTGGGGGGTTTTGGGCAAGGTGGGGGTGTGATAGGGGGAAGAAAATGTATTATAAATTTTCGATTTTGCATTAAAAAGTAGAAACATAAAATAGAATAATATTTCAATTTTGCATTATAAATTAGAAACAAAGCCAAATATATGTTATAAATTTTCAAATGTTCATTATAAATTAGAAACATAGCCCAAATATATTATCATCATCATCATCCAACCTTTATCCCAATGCTATCGGATCAGCCATATGAATCATGTTCCTCTATTCTTCTCTATCAAGGGCCATACACTTAGTAAGATAGCCGAAAATATTTTACAATAACTAAAATAGAAAACCCTTAAAAAGAAAAGAACTATTCATGAAGTTTTATCATAAATGTAAAGCCAAACTTTGAAAACAAACGCAAGAAAATGATAAAAAAGCATAATAGAATACAATATTCATAAAAATATGAAACCCTAACTCAAATTGAGTTCTCTAGGGTTTTGGGGGGGCAAAATGCCCCCCAAATGCAATTTTCCCTTCTAAAAGGGGGAGATTGCATTTTTTGCCCTTTTGGTGAGGGCAATTTCTGCCTTACCAAAAGGGCTCTGGAAGCGCTGCGCACCCACCCAAGTGGTGCCCTAGGTGACTAGTCAGCCGCCCGGGTCACCGCCGCCCAGCGTGGTGCGGTGAGGCCTCCCAGCTGCCTGGGCGAGCCTTTTGAACTATGTCACTAGGTTTAAGAACATTGGCATCAACAACTAAGAATGATGCTTCAAATTCTATAATTATGAAAAATAAATGTCAACTGATCACATTTTAATAGTTTAGAGAAAGTAAATGACAATCCAACAGAGAAAACATAGTTACAGTCCAAAGGATGTGATGAAAAGAGAGAGGGACCCGCCATTGGGGTCATGTCTTCGTTCGTCTCTCTCTCTCTCCTCCTCTCTCTCTCTCTCTCTCTCATTTCATTAGATGGTGATGATGACCCTAATGGAATATGAGTATGTCATAACTCAGTATTATAGTATACTTTCGGACTATGCAACTTAGAAATGCATGTATGCCGATCATTTTGTGTTTCAAAGCATTTCAAAATGGGAAATGTTGCAAAACAACTAGAAACTCTGAATATGAAAGTTAAAAAAAACTTCACATGCGGCATTTGTTGTACATTTTGACGATAGTAACAACATTCCGAGGTTCAAATTTATGCTTATCGCAACTTTGACCATGTCCAAGTTCAAATCCCAAGCTTTTCACAATTTTAGGACTATTTTAGAACAAATTTCTGTTCATTTCTTAATGCGCAAGGGAGTCCACGAGCTGATTGGATTCCCCCAAATGTGAAAGGAGTAAGTAGAGCATCCATGTAGCCAATCAAATAATTCCGCAAAAATCTTTCCAAGTCACCATAGGGATTTAGCTTTTCAGAAGGCCCACTTGATCCTGCTCACAGGATTCCCTTTGACCATTAAAGATCCCCATTCTGGATTATAAAACCTCACACTACTGCGCAATGCAATAGCTTCAGCTGTATTAGCACATATTCCGGCGAGTCCAGAACAAGACAACAGAGTTAGACCTGTGTGGTCTCTAAAGTCTAAACCATCCCCTGAACCAGCAGGTCCTGGGTTTTCTATTGAACATCTATCAAAGTTCAACTTGACTGAGCCTGAAGGTGGAGATGCCAGGTGGATGGATGACGGCAGGAGATGGTTTCAGTAGTGTGTGATAACTTTCCAATTCCATAGAAAATTGACTGCTGAGATCCTCAGAAATTCTTTCTAGTGTGCTAGCCCAGGCAATGATATTTGCTTTTATTTTTTTTCTATCAAGGTTTCCACAGTAGAATAAATTTTACAAAAATAATACTGTTATGTCTAACCAAATGCCCCACAGAACAGCCAAAATGGACATAAACCACAAGAAAATATCTTGTCAGGCAAGGGCAGGGCAAACCAACGCTGAGAAAGTTTCTCAACAGAGTCTCAAATAACAGTGTGTCCAAACTTGCCAAATAGGTCACAGTGCAGGAAACGATGCCCAACCGATTCCACATCACATCAGCACAAGGCGCATCTATTTGGTATTATGATACGATACCTAAGTGAACAAGGTAATCTATTGTGACGATCATGAGTAGTGAGCCAACCAAAGAGCCCTTTTCATAGGGGAGCAGGAACAGCCCATGGCTTTCTAGCGATGATTTAGGCAAAGATAGGCCTACTAACACACAATACAAAATATTTAACAGTGAAATCACCTAAGGGGTTGGGTGCCTAGATCATAGAATATTCTCCTTCAATTGTATGAAAGCCTTGCTGATTGTTGCGAAAAATACTGGGAGAGACAGCTCTTCATCTTTTAAATTGTGTTCTTAAGAGTAGGACACCAATCTTACTCCCCTTTCTCTCATAGCCATGTACCTGTGGCCTCTTGTTCCATAACACAAGAGAACAGGATAAGAAATCTGTCTGCAAGCCTGGCCTTACCAACCCAAATGTCTTCCAAAAACATACCTTGTTTCAATGGCCCACCAAAAGCAGGTGTAGCAATTGTAGATAGGCACTATTGGACCTTCTCCTTTACAAAAACCAGAGTTCTGCTCATGTGAGCTATGCCTGGAAGCAATCACCCAATGAGAGTTCAGGCCACATCTGCTAATAAAAACCTAGTTCCACAATTATTCATCCGTTTGGCCATCAGCTAACCTCTGTGGTTATTTACCCAGCAGCAGTAAATTCATCCTTCGAGTCCCAAACCTAGCTTTGATAGGTGAGCAAAACTTGTCCCACTTGACAAGATTTGAATTTGCAATGCCCATCTCATAAAAAAGTCATGTTCTAGGCATTCCATGTTGGCTACATCGCGAGCTGGTAATTTTAAAAGTGTCATATACATATTGGTACATTGCTCAGGGCTGCCATACTGAGGGTAATCCTGCCCCCTAGCAAAAGGTATCTCACCCTTTGGATAACCCCATTCCCTTTCAATAACCACAGTATTAGAGGGTTAGACCCAGACAATTCAATAGCAAGCGGTCAACCTCACAGCTAAACAAGAAGCAAGTCTATATAGGTCTGTCTCTAGGACCCCAACACGAGTAACCTTGTTTCCAGAAAGCTAACAGGAAGACCTGAACAGACTTTGGAACATTTCCAAATTAACAACCAATCAACCTGGGCAATGGTGGTTGGACCGAAGATCTAGTTATCCTGTACACATTGCAAGCGAGAGATATTAGTTCCATTACAAGAGCTAAGCGTGCTTGAAAGTAGCCCCTGAGAATAGACATGAATGAGGCTCCTAGTGAAGGTCTCAGCCGCCAAAGTAGATACGAAAAGAGACAAAGGATCTCCCTGCCCCAAATCTCTGGTGTGGGGAACATAATTAAGAAGAATAAAGACATTTGCCGAAGAAGTACACCCTTGATCAACCACCTCCAATTTTGACCAAAGCCTATCTTTTCCATAACTTCATAAAGGAAGGGCTAATAGGCTTTCTCCATGACAGGATTGAAATCAAGTCCTTGGATTTTGACTTATGGAGATAGTCTATGCATTTGAACTTTTGAACTTACTAAGGGTATGGCCCTTGATAGAGAAGAATGGAGGAACAAGCTTCATGTAGATGGCTCCAAATAATTGGGATAAGTCTTGGATGATGATGATGATGATGATGACATTTTTATATGCATAATTAGTATATTTTTCTTTTCTAATATATATGTATGGATGTTTCTTCGTGTTTCTTAATTTATATAAGCCATGTTAGACACCTTAGAAACATGTCCAAAACTGACATTCATTTTTGTTTCTGGGTAACATAGCCTATTAACTAGAATCATTAATTTTTGTCAACTAATCAAATTTTCTTGTTTCAGAACAGCTTAAAATGGAAAAAGAAAAGGTGACAGGTGGAAGTAGAGATGCATAATAATGCATAATTAATTCTCCATGTAGACTATAAATATGAGAACTGTAGAGAGGATAGTAGACAGAGTAAAACCTCTGCAATTGAAGCAGCCACTGCAGCTGCAGCTTGAGTCTTATGAGAAAGCTCGCGAAGATAACGCCCAAACTTGCGTACAGCAACTGAAATGGCTGGTACAACTGCCAATGCCAATACTGTTGTACAACAAAAACAAAAGCGACATCAGAAAATAACTTATTCAATGGAGATGCATGATGGAATAATGTATTTGTTACTGAAAGTATACTGTGCAAAGTGAAAAAAAAAAAAAAAACTTTCTTGACATAGGTATTCGCAATAACCCATAAACTAATTCTATGTACGGTTTCCGTCCTTACAGATGCTCAGCTTATTGGGTTTTAAATCCATAGAAATTTGTTGCTGCGTTAGTAATTTGTTATACAATCAAAATAATGGATTAGAAGAAAGGACAGAATTTCAAAAACAAAATGAAGAGAAATTCTTATGTGACCCATAAAAACTAAACTGGCATAGAAACTTAAGTCATCCACAAATAAGGAGAACTTCAATTTCAGATAATACTTCTAATCTAGAATACAGAGTAATAGGTTTATATCTCAAGATTATCTTCAATTTTGGGGAGTTAAGCAGTAGGATCTGAACTTGGACATAACATGTTACTCAAGATTATCAAAATATCAATAAATGATTAAGCAAATGTACCATGAAAATTTTAAAAATTGGAAGAATTCTGTAAGAACTAATGAAAAGGAAGAATTTTCATTAAAATTTACCAACAGTAAACTAATTACTCACATGTCAGCTTCCAAGATGTTGAGAACATGAAGCCCAGACCAATAAATGCGGTGGAAAGATTACGCAAGGCCTCAGACAGGTTGGTAGTAGCTGCATTTTTTATAATTTGGGTATCTTCAGATAGCCGACTTAGGAGCTCCCCAGTTCGTGTTACATCAAAGAATGCAATTTCCTGAAAAAGTCCCAGCATTGAAATCACATAAAAGATTAAGAATGTTGAATCAATCATAGGTCTACAAAAGATGGGCATAGATAGACTGACTTGTTGAATAAGATGCCTGAATAAGTTCTTCCTCAAACGAGCGACAACTCTTTCACTAGCTGAAGAAAATAACCATGCACGCAGCGCCGTGCATATTGATCTAGACCAAGATAAAGTGGGAAGGAGTCAGATAATGAACTATGCAGCTAAAATATCATATCACATGTAACGATGACAATTGGCATCTTGGATATCAATTAATAATATTGGCAATGTTGACCATACCCTATAACAACGATTACCACAATATCTAATATAGTATCCCTGATAGCATCTAATGCTTCAATTTGTTGCTCATGTGTTCTCACTTCTCTTGAAACAATGTCAATTATCATACCCCCATATTTTGGCTGCAGTCCAGAAAATTGAACTGCTTTAGTTGAGAGAATTGAATGAGATGAAATAGTAAGAAAGAATCACTTAATTGACATTTGAAGGAATTGAGCAAGTAGGATTGTGCAAAATACCCACAATTAGAATACTTGATGTGGATGCAATAAGTAATGCAACAGTAGCAAGAACCAGCTGCCCGGCATCTGGCTTTGCCTGGAAAGAAAAAACAAAATTAGTATAAATCTATAAAGAGAAAAGATTCTCACTACAATTAATGAAATGAAGCGGTTGTGATACCCAACAAAGAAGGAACTGGAGAAAATTTTTGAGAAGTCACGCACCAATGAGAGAACTCTACAAAACCCAACATTTGCAGCCTGGTTTCAAAGAAATGAAGTGTTAGCTTCACAAACACAAATCCTATTCAATAAACTCCGGCATAACAACAGAAGAAATTGATTCATAGACATTGGCAAGTTGCAGAACAAGAGCCTCTTATAGCTCTGAGTATCATGAGAGGTCATAATAAACATAAAACTCTAGAGTCCAAGAGAAAAAATTGACATATCCGAAAAGATGAAAGCATATTTTACTAGAAATGGGAAAAGATAGCTCCTTTAAATTACAACCATGAAAAGTACATCGATATGTACCAAAACAATGCAATTTCTTGACATTAAAAATTGAAATCATATGAAAAAACTGCTCACAATCTCACAGAAAACCACATTAAACTACATAATCACCTGCACTGCATCACCATGCTCAAGATCACTAACTCGACCATCTGTAGATTGGGCATCACTTCTCTTTGAATCAACCTATACAAAAGTAGCCACATTAGAATTCCTTAACCATTTACTAGTCATCTTGTTGATAAGTAACGATTATATTACAGAAAACAAGTATATGTCCATGTGAAAGGTTATGAGTGTGTGCGCACATTTGTTTTGGGTGGATAAGCTGGGATTCAAGGCATAGGAGTTTGTTGTGGTTCTTATACCAAGTCACCATGAAGAGAGAGAGAGAGAGAGAGAGAGATGTTCATTAGCTCTGTTAATGGAACCATTTAAAGTTTTAAACCAATATAATCTGAGAGAGATAGGTCTTCATGTTTGTTCATGTAACCATTTAAATCGTTATAATCGAGTTAATAAGTATTTTCAACTATCTTTGTCATATTTTCTGTGTGGGATGATGCACTTCCCCATGAGCTTGCTCCCATTAAATTGCAAACAAATCTTTTGGGTAAATAAATTGCTCATAATTTTAGTTGAATAACCATTCTCTCTTTCTTATTTTACCTCTGTTTTATGGAACAACTTGAATGTACTTTCCTAATAAAACAAGTACAAGAAGCAAAACTAAAAGATGGATGATTCCCATATATAATTCCTCGTAAGAAATAAGCCAACCCCCAAATCATATATCCACAGAGAGAGAAAGAGACCCACTTCTCAGATTCATCAAACTAAAATCACAAAAGATACAGATTTGTATGGAACAAATTTACAGACAAAGAAACAGAAGCACGTCAATGAAAACAAAGCCTATAGCAACAATAAATTCATCAACAAAAGAAAAACCCAACGTTCATTTCAGTTCACAGTAACTGACCTCATCATTCAAAAGTGGAATTCTCTCACTTGCAGTCCCATTACTCCCTGAACCCCTGGCCATTGATTCACAGAAACCCAATTAAGAATCTCTAACGACGTAATGGTTACAGTACAGAAATGGGTTTTGATCAGTTGCCAAATATATGTGGACTTTTGTACATTTTGTAGGAATCAAAGCAAGAGGCACTGAGAAACTCGGTGCTTATGGAAAGGGACACCCACTTTCCAGCAGTGGACCACCTGTTTCTTGTATCTTATAAACTTAGTGCCATGTAGCGTGGGGTATAAATTGAATATACCCCTTTCCAAACGCTTGACCCTCGGTTTCGTTGTCTCTTTCCAACATGGAATAATAGATGTCATTGGTGTTCTCAGTTCCCAAGGTGTTCTCAGTTCCCAAGGTGCTCTATCTCGCTCTAAATATTCTATCATTTGGGTATAACTCCATTAGGAATAGACCCGGACCCACCTCGGGTCCATGGTTCAAATTTTGGACCCAAAGATTAGGTCTAGATACCAAATCTGGACCCAATTACTTTAGGGTCTGTTTTTGGTTCAGCCGGACCCGACCAGACTTAACCTATGTTGAATACGGTGGTTGTCTAAAATCACCCTGCACAAAAAATCTCATATTACGTGGGATTGAGGTTGATATTGATAAGTTTCTTAAAAACACATTTATATTTCTAAAAGATATTTTATGAAAAGTTAAATGTTTTATTTTGGAAGGTTTAAATAGGTTATAACCGACTAGAATGTATATATATATATATATGGGTGCAGTTGGCATACAAATGCATCCGTAGCTGTAGAGGTAAGGTGCACCTTCAAATTTTATCACGATATATAATTTTGACGTAAAATGTTTTTAGGATTATCTCAAAATCTATTTTTATATCTAATCATGAAATTTTAAATTTCAAAAATGGTTAAAATCAAGTAGATCTATAAACATATGAAAATCTTGAAAATGGACGGTGTAGATGGTATGTTGTACAATGCACTATTTTTAAGACGTAAAATCTTTTTATTTTTCATGGCCATACATCTCGATGTCGAGATGATCAATCAAAGGGGTTTTCAACATTAAAACTACCTTTTTCGATGGATTTTAGAAGTGCATCTGTAGTTCTACATTATAAGGTTGCATCCTTATATAAACTTTTTCCTATATATATAGAGCAATGATCCAATGCAACTGTCGTATCATAGTATAATGCAACGACAGTTCTAGAAAACCATGTTTGTGGTATTTGTATGACATCAAATTTTGTACACACTATCTTCATCTCAATAATCAATCCCCCAAATAAAAAAAGTTCAATTTGAACCCTAGATATGGTCAAAATGAGTCACCTCCAAAAATGAATCTAGACCATTTATTTCATGAATTTCAAGATCTTAGCCTTTATAAACTCAAAATCATTGCTTTTTTTTGTTTTAACATTATTTATCTAATAATATAATAAAGCCATCCAAAAAAATTGGAAATGAGAAAATCCTTCTAAGGCCTAGATCTAAGCATCTCACCAAAATGAACGTCCTATGTTAATTGGGCTAAAACCATACTTTTTAGATTGTGTTTTCAATTTTTTCATTTTTGTGATTGTTCATAAAAATGAAAAGAATGTATATTTCAAAATTTGGATCAAACAAATTGCTATAAGATGGG